TCCTTTTAGGTTGCCTTCACCAAAGCAAATTGATAGAATGATTTATGGAGAGAGAGGTTGTTATGATTTATTAATATATTATATGAATAATATATTAAAAGAGAAATCATATAGTTTAATTAATATTAATCAAGAATTAATTAAGAATTAATTTTGTGGCTAAAATATATTAATTAATTAAAGGGGACTAGAATTGTCAACTATGTGATAGTTGATTTTTAGGTTGAGAAACCTTATGGATTAGGGCATGGACGAAATTAAGATGGAGTCCATCTTGAATTCGTCCAAGGAGGCCTTATTCCAGAAGGTTCTCAAGTTACTTAGGGCCTAAGTCATCCAATTAGAGTTTTCACTGAAACCTTAGAAGCTCAAGTATATACAGACCCCTAGGGCTAAGAAAATCAGCCACTTGATCCTTTGGAAACTTGGAGCCGATTTTCTCCTCTTATCCTCTCTCCTAAACATCATTCACTTGTTTGTGGTGTTTGTAAGGTATTAGAGGTGTTACACTTGTGACACTAAGCTTCTTGAAGATCAAAGGATTCTTGCAACTATTAAAAGGTATCATCTGAACTTGTTATGTTGTAGATATCGTTTTTAATAGCAAGCTAGATTAGGGTTTCAAATCTTAGATGAATTGCATGTACAATAGAGAAACCTAGATCCAAGCATTTAGGGTTTTGCATGAGCACATAATGTTGTTCTTTTGTATAAAACATATTAGTGGTATCAAATCCATTATTGGTTTCCATTGTATTTGATATTTTGTGTTTCATTCATGCTTGAAAAATCGATTTTTTGATCATCTAACTGACAGACTCATTGAGTCTTAATGTGGGCTCGACGAGTCCATATGGGGACTCGGCGAGTCGGGCTATTAGACAGAGTGTATTTCAGGATTGCATGCCTATTTTGCTGTGGGATAGTTACCATATCGTTTTTTATTAATAAAATATGAAATTTATTGATATTGCATGATTATCCTTGCCAAAAGAAAAGATAATTTCAAATTAATTGTATAATTACTTCCTTATATGATAAATGTTAATTATTTGGATTATTTGGTCATTGTCTTGCATGAAATTGGATTGGGTCAATATTAGATAATCACCATAATTAATTGTTTAATTATTTATTTGAATTTTGATCTAGATAGTTTTGAATTATTTCAAAACTTGCCCTCAAGTTTTGGAGTTTAATTTTTAAAGTAAAAGTTTAATTTTGAAATTATTAAATTCCAAACCCTAGAATTTTACAAGTTTAAAATTCACCCTATACTATTATAATATTATAAGAATAATTATTATATATGTATAAATTAAAATACTATTCTTACCGTTATTAGGCCTCATTCACGAAGTCGATCTATAAGGGGGTATAAGGTTATGGACTATAAAATGGTCGTTTAATGGGTGTCCAGTCTCACCCATCGCTTCCTTGATTGGTGGAGGGTCGTTAGCCGAACAGGTAGGATAGGGAAATCCTTTCCTCATTAAAAGTATAATAAATTGTAAAGTATCTAAATGTTTTTACAAAATTCTCAATCTTAGTTACTCTAGGCATAATGTGAATTTGATGATATTCCATGAAATTACACTTTGTACCCTTACTAAGACGTTAGTGGAGCGTGTGTGGTTAACCGGCACACTAATTTGGCTCTAAGCAAAGGTGGCAAAGGGTGACTCGATGTTCGTCATAGATCGATGGAGCGTGTGTGGTTAACTTGCATGTCGATTAGGTGACTGCTACATTAGGGGCACCATGTATATTTGCATGGTTATTCACACTCAGTTTGTGATCCTCGGCATCCCAATCACAAACTTGAGGGACATATCGAGATTTAAACATGCCATTGAAAAGTTCAATGAATCTCAAAAGATCTAGAAGTTTTCAATACATTTAAAACTTAATTCTATTTTGTTTTTCATGTTGGAATTTAGTTAATCGTCATTCACTTACCTTCAAATATTTGTTGTTTAGATTACGACATCCCTTTTCTAAATTGCAAATAAGGTTGTTGGATCCTAGCCCTAATTTATCATTTGGGTTAATTGGGGATTATTATCTAATCTAATGTTGTCTCTTTTCTTTTTCAAGATTTCAAACTCAAACCACAACGATTCAAGCTCAAACACCTCCAAATCATACTCACTCATGAATTTGTGTGTGTATGTGTGTGTGTGTGTGGGGGGGGGGGTGATCTTCGATGGAAACAATTTCAATGATTGGATTCGTAACATAATGATGGTCACACACTACGAGGACAAGGAATATGTCCTCGACAAGGAGCTGAAAGAGGTGGACTTAAACACTTCTACTCCTGAAGGGATTGCTGCCTTCTAGAACCATGAACGTGATGCCACGAAAGTCCATTGCATCATGCTATCAACAATTACTGATGAACTCCAAAAGTCCTATGAGTACTTCTATCCCTACGAAATGCATCAGGACTTGGTTGAAAGGTATCACGAAAGTGTGAGGCAGGAGAGGTACGAGATCATCACTTCGATGCTCACGACCATGATGAGAGACGGAGAGTCTATCACTGCTCATCTGCAGAAGATGAAAAGGTATGTTGACTGCCTGCTGAAGTTAAATGTTAACTTCGATGAAGAGCTGGTGATTGACATCATCCTTCATTCGCTACCACCCTACTTCAACCAGTTTCGCATGACCTACCACATGAACAAAGAGGAGGTCACTTTAAGCAAACTTCAAGGTCTATTGAGGGCTGCTGAGAGCAACCTCAAGGACAAGTCCATTGCACAAACTCCTACTCCTACTACTGCCCCCGTCTTGGTTATTAAGCAAGGAAAGGGTAAGAAGAAGAAGGCTCCCACAAAGAGTCGCCATAAGGGAAAGTCCCGTGATGGTACCTCTTCTAGTGGAACTAAGGTTGGTTCTAATGCACCCACTTCCAACCCCAAGGATGCAGAGTGCCATCACTGCCACAAAATAGGGCATTGGAAATGAAGCTGCCCGAAGTATCTGCAAGATATCAAGGATGGAAAGATCAAGCCGTCCTTCACAGGTATTTACACTATTCAATCTAAAGATTCATCACATGTTATTTCTTGGGTTCTTGATACAGGGTGTGGTTTTCACATTTGTTCCGATTTGCAAAGCCTAAGAAGAAATAAGGATGTGGAGCATGGGAAGATAAACTTGATCATGGGGAACAGAAGAGTGTCGCTTGTCACCAAGATTGGAGTTTACCCTTTAGTGTTTAGTACTGGATTAGGATTAGATTTGAATACTTTTTTTTATTCACCCACTACAAGAAAAAGAGCCTTTCACGACGCGCAAATCACGACGCTCACTGATTTATGTTACGCAAATGAGAGTGACAATAAAAACGTGTCGTCTATTCAATAAATTTGAGTGTTTAGGTCACGCATTATTACGTGCCCTTAAATTAGTGTCTAATGTAAAAAAAAAAAAACACGGAGGGCACTTTATCTAAAACGTGCGCCCTCTGTGATTGTCGCTTTATGATTTTTACTAAAACGCGCGTTCTTGTAAGGGGGAAAGGAAATCCCCTCAAAATTCTTAAAAATTTTAATACCCCGCTTCAAGATCCCCTTCGTTCTATTCTTCCCTTTTCTCTGCAAACCCTAATCACGATACCATCTCTGTTGTATGCCTCAACAATTCATATATCAGAAAATCATTGGGATAATTTCTAGGGCTTTTTTAAACACTCATTCGACTCTTTTCTCTCCCGTCTCCCCTGTCTCTCTATTTTGTGCTCTGATATCCCCCTTCCATTTATGCCGCCATCTCGGTCGCCATCAAAACGAGGATATGAGACAGTGCTTGATCTACGATTTGTCCAGTCGCCGATGCCCGGTTAATAGGAGTTGAAAACATCATAACATAAAAACTGTTCTTAACCTTGCCGGACTCAGAAAAGCCGATGTGGCACATCCACGAGTATGAGGTGAAGAGCGACGTCCTTTTCCTTCCAGGCGTCCCTGGTCCGGTTGAGCGGCAAGATCGGGAGAAAGCGCCGAAAACTTACGGGAAGACGATTCACTTTTTTGGCAGGTGGATAGAGGCGATCAACTTCCCCTAGGTCTCCTACAGGTAATGATGGCTCTAATTCGTGATGGCTTTACCCTAATCTCGCTAAAGGTACAATTTACATTTCCTAATTTCCGCCATTTTTGATCACCTGCAACTTATGTAGAAACTCTATCGATCAATTATTATTACATATTTGGAGTCTCGCTATGGTGTTTTGTTCAAAAAGGAAAGGGATAACAGAGCGTATATGGAAGGCTTATCCCAAGGAATTCACTCAAAAGCACACGCTGATGGTGTTGGACTCAAAACTATTGTACGAGATATCAATTTGCATTGCTTGGAGACCTGGCAAGGGTAATTTGGGAATATAGTCATCCAATTTCATTACGCCTAGTTGTTAACAATGGTTTATGTTAACTATATATTAACTTTTTTTGGTGTTTTTTGTTTAGTAGGTTTGTCCAACTCATTTGCACCCACGCCTAGCTGAGTTTCTTGAGGTTGCTGCTAAGTAACTGGTATGACGACAAGTATCAGTTATCTTTTTTATAAGTGTCAAATGTCCTTTATTTATTTATTTGTTATTGTTTATCATCTGAATCATTTGATACGACCCATGTTGGTCGTTTTGGTCAAGTATATCGACGAAGGGATAATCATCAAGATTCAAGAAAGAATTTTTAAATGTTTTCCTTTTATTTAGCTTTCCTTTTAATTAGAATAGTAGTTTTTTTATTTAGTTTAGAATTCCTGTTTTTTAGGATCTGGTTTTGGATTATGATTAGGTTAATACGAATATATAATTAATGTTCTAGGGATAAATCACGTTTTATGCTGGAATAAAAGTCTTAGACGATTTGCTGGAGAATTCCCTGTTTCTCGAACTACAGGAGGCCTGGTTAAGGTTCCTACCTGCGGGTTAGGATCTTGAACCTATTAATTGGTATCAGAGCTGCTACGGTTCTGGTGTCAACATGTCAAAAACAAATTCTGAGAAGATAGCTGGATTGGAGGCAGGTGTTGCAGCCCTGGAGCAGGATCTTACCAAGCTTCGAGAGGAAGCTAACCTCGCCAAGAAGGAGAATGCTGCACAATTCACAGAAGTCCTGCAAGCTATCAATAACTTGATGAAAACTGTCAAGGGGAAACTCATTCAAGAGGAGGAGAAGGACAAGGAAGATCCTGAATTTGAGCTTGAGTTTGGATCCTTCAAAAAGGGACCCAAGGACGATAAGAACAAGGGTGGGGGTCGACAAATGGGAGAATTTCGGAAGATTAGAGCTCCTATTTTCGAAGGGGAAGACGCGTTTGGATGGATTTATATGGTGGAGCATTTCTTTGAGATCCAAGACATTGGAGTACGTGATCGTTTGAAGGCAGCAACGATTTGCTTGGACGGCAAGGCGCTGGCTTGGTTTGCTTGGAGTCAAGCAAGGGACCCATTCCGCTCTTGGGAGGATTTAAAAGAATGGTTGTTGGAGCGATTCCAGTTAACAGGTGAAGGCAATATCTATCATCAGTTTCTCACCATCCGACAAGAAGGAACTGTACGTGACTACGTAAGCAATTTTGAGAGACTGTCATGTTAGTTGGGAGACATACCAGAAAGCGTGTTGGAAGGTACCTTCATTAATGGTCTCAAGGATGACACACGTTCGGCCGTTCGTATTTTACAGCAGCAAACTTGGCCAGAGCCATGACTCTTGCTGTTATGATAGATGAAAACAAGTTCAGTATTGGCACACCCAAGACTAGTGGAGGGGTAATTCGGTCCAACAACAGTGGGTCTAGTCGACCAGGTGGAGCTTTTACCAACATGGGTTGTATCATCATCTAGTATTTTTTGATGTTATTTGTGAAGGGCTTAATGAGTCACTTTAAATAGTGCAATCACCCTGTGTAGACATGCATGAGTTTGTCCTCAGCTTGTATCACCTCACACGGAGCATTTCATGCAAGCATGGCATATTGCTTTAGCCATGTAAGTCCCAAAATTTTACAACTTCAACCTCATTTCCTTTTTCTTAGAATTTTTACTTAAAACAACATTTGACAATACTTAAATTTCTTAATGTCAACAAAATTCGGGATGATATTCAAAAGGAGGATGCTTTTCGAGGTCTCTATGCAATGGTATGCATCTGCTTTTGTTTGGTTTAGACTTTTGATTTGATTTGAAGCAGAAACTTACTTATGTTTTTTTTGGTTTGCAGGTGAAAGTGAACACATCAGTGGATTTAAGTTCACTTGTTTTCTTATGTAGAGCCATTTCTAGTTGGCATGTAAGTTTTTCATTTCAACTATTCTTCAACACACACACACACAGTATATATACATGTGTCAACACCATTTCAGCATGCACACCTGATTTTTAGAGGCTAGTCAATAGTCATGGTCTGGGGTAAAATTGAAGAAATCAAGTAAACACACAGTATATATACACGTGTCAAAATAGAAGCTTTTCTTAATTCCATTTTGTTTTCAGTAAGTGTTCCAGTTTTATCAGAAAACACATAACAAATTTGACCTAAATCTTCATTTATACTTAAGGATCTGCATTGAAACCTTGAGTTTGTACTGCTATCATACATGTGTTTGTCTTCTATCATGAAATAAGATTGACCTAATCGAACCAATTCCATGGTGATGTATAAAGATATCGGAATCATGATCTGAAACACAATAACAGAACTCAAAAACGCAAAAAAACATCTCCATTGGAATCCCATAGTATTTATACGGTTTTCCTGGAAACTTTCCCTTTATAAGATAGCTCTTTCTGTAATAAGGAATCGTATCAATTGCATCCTGATGACTCATTAGCCATAAACACATCCCAATAGCAACAACAAGACACAATATGAATAGAAAAACAGATAACCAGATAGTTTCTGAGTTCATTGCTTGTTCAAGTCTGCTTCTTTTTGAAGGGGAAATTGCACTATTTAGCATAGCTTTTGTCTCTTGTCCACGTACACAACAACACCTATAACCCATTTTGTGTTTTTCATCTGACACCGACGTAAGATAATGTTTGATTGACTAAGGGAAACTTTATGACCATTTAACTCTATTAGCTGTGAACTCATATATGTTTCTATTAGGTTGTTCACATCTAATTACCCCTGATATTGACCCTAATGGCATTAAGGATGTTTCTTGTCTAGCATAACGTGTCTTTAAATTTGACTCTCCATCTAAATTCATGGTTTGTATGTAAGCAATGCCACTAGGATCACTTATCCACATTAGCACCATGTCACAAGGGATTGTCACAAGAGATTCTTTGTTGTTCTCATTTCTGTCTGATCTGTGTCTTCTCCAATCCTCGTATCCATCTTTTATAGCAGTTACTGTGAGAATAAAAAGGAGAGGGAAAAGAGAGACTGTTCTTCCAAAGACTACAAGAGGAGGAAGCTGATTGAGAGTTGCAATGGCTAAAAAGTATATGTAAGCCACTTGATGAAACTGAATGAAGAGATTCTTGGGTTGGAAGTTTATAAGTGTGTATTTGCTAGTGGTGATCTTGTTTCCTGCTGAAAGTGGGTTGGTCTCCAAATGGCGGCCTAAGGACCAGGTAATCTCACTACAAATAAAACGACATTTAGTGGCACAGAAAAAGTGTCACTAAAAACCGAAAAAGTGCCACTAAATCCCCCCTGGATAATCAGCGGCACAAAAAAAAGTGTCACTAAAAACGCTACCACTAAAGGCCTTTAGTGGCAATTTTTCGTTGTGCCACTGCAACTTTATTGAGCTTTAATGGCACTTTTCTATTATGCCACTAAAATATTTGTAGGATTTAGTGGCACTATTTTGATGCCACTATTTTACTCTAAAATTAAATATTATTTCTATGCTTTTTATGGAATTTTTTAACACAATTATATTAACAAATTAGGTCTCAATTTTTTTAATTTTAAAGGTAATATAAAATAATAATAAGAGAACTTAGATAATGAATGAAATCATAATACCATTAAGTAAATTCAAACTTGTCTAACAAAAATACTATCAATAACTAATTTATAATACAAATGTCTTCAAAAAGATTTAATAAATATAAATGTTGTACTAATACTAACAACATAATACTATCGAACTAAAACTTTTTAGGGAATAAACACAAAACTTGATTCACATCTCTTCTTTTGTTTCTGAATGATACCTACATAACAAATGAATAAAATTAGATCAATAAGACTTTTGAATAAAAACAAGACATGCAAAATTAATAAAATGCTTACCACCCTTCCATAGCTTGTTAAAGAGGGCTCTGAGGGTATAAAGCATGTAATATGATTACAATAGAAGAATAAGGCTTGAAAGCTATAAGGTATCAATTCCTTCCAAACCAACAATAGTAGTGAATTTTTTGGTCTTCACTAAATTTAGCTACATTTTTTATGGGACAAATGACACATTGCCAGCCAACTTGGAATTCCATCATCGAAATGTAATATCATCCAAATCTAGGTAGATATTTCATCCAAAAATAAAATAAAAAAAGAAACATAAACACTTACTTATTTGGCACCTCAAGCTTCTTTTGTCTTATTTATTTCCAGAATAGATGATATCAACTTTTAGACAATAAGCACTTCTAGTTTCTAACAAATGAAATACATTTAATTAAATCAGATCAATCAAATAAAATTAAATATAATGCATTTATACTATTATGTTACACAAAGTGATGATGCATAACTAAAGCAATCATCTCTTAGAAGCGTATGAGATTCAACTTGAAGTTGGTCAAATTGAGCTCTTCTTTCCTGTAAATCCAAGAATAAACAATTTATCAACAAATATAATTAGAAACAACTCAATGACAATTAAGCAATTTTGTTTTTAAGTTATTTTATTCTTTTAAAATTAAAATTCATAACTCATAATTAACCTGATAATGTAACCAAAATGTATCCAAAAATGGAATCACGTAGGAGAGATATATCTTTGCTTCCCTTCTTTTGCTACAGGTTTAGACTTTTGGATCCTCATTGGAATTCATGAATCTTTTTTTCATGTTTTTCTTCTCACTCAACACGTCTACATTTAGTTCCTCCTCCCCATCTTCCCTGATTTTCATATTTCTAGTCTCTAATTCCTTTCCCATTGTTGGACCAGTGCCTCAGAAAACTTCTTGTATAAGTCGCTCAGTCATTTGTATGTGAATGTTACCAACCTACCTGCATTTGAAATATAATTTTAGCTAAAGATTCTTCTAGTTATGAATAAGGCAATAAAAATACAAGCATCTTTTGCTTCATATGTATACTGGTTATAAACTTTAGGATTCGTGACAGAAAAGCAAATATCATGGGTATATATGTGCAATGAATGAGTAAAACATTATATAATAGCAAAAAAATTAAACTCATAGTGGTATTCGTTTCAGGAATTTACCCGAGCACTTGATGTGCATCTCTAAACATGAAGGATATTCGATTAATATTGAAATAGAAATGCCAAAAACATCCAAACGACAACAAATTCCAACAATGTAGGTTAAAAAATAAACTCAAAAAAAGTTCTGACCAACAACAATTTACATCGAAAATCTGAAAATTTGAGAATAGAGTAGAGACAATCCTTAGAGTGTGTTAATGGAGAGCTTTCGACAGGATGGAGAAGGCCAAGGGTGAGATCGAAGGGTAGATTTGTAATACATAGGGAGAGATCGCAGGATTTTCTGATTACATTTTCAATGGAATCCAACAACTCAATATATAGGGTTTGAGATGAATGTAGAGGATCCGAAATCGGACCTATTCAACAGGCAGAAAAACAAGATGAAATCGATGATGAGATATAGAAATCTTCAATCAACTATGAGATACCGAGATAGATTTGGTCTTGAACGAGCTTCTACAAACGAGATGTTAAGATTTAACCAGCAGCAAAGAAGGAGATGATACACAAGAGTGATGGGGATTTTGGTTATCGGAAGTGATTGCGAATTCAGGGGATCCAAAAATTTCAAATCTGTTTTGGAGTTTTGACCTAGAATTTAAAAGGGGTATGTGCAACGCCTTCAATGGTGGAGGGAATAAGGAGCGTGAAATGATAATTAGAAGGAAATATAACAGGTGCTCAACAAAAATTAGAACTTTCGAACATGATATAGTGGCATATAAAAATATGTGACACTAGAAACCTAATATAGTGGCATAAAAAAAATATACCACTAAAAAATTGTGCCACTAAATGTAATTTGGTTTGTAGTGTCTGTTGTTTCCTGCATTTACCCTTTCATCATTTTCGATTTCCTTTTGCATTTTATATGCTTATGAGATAATATGCTATCAGACAAGGTATATGCCTTGTTTCTGTTGGACCTATTAGTTTCCCACTATTACTGATTAGATGAGTAGGGTAACCTGTAATCATGTATGCTTTCCACATAAAGCTGTATTTTTCCATACTTGGCTTACTTGCACCAACAGTTATTAAGCAAAAAGCTTGTATTGGGGGTTTAGTTTTGTTAGTTGGAGTTCACATGATCGTCAAAGTAATTTGCTTTAGAGATTTGCTGGAGGCTTCTGTTGCTATATGCTAAACCCAACATGCTATTAGTGTTGCTGTTCTTGTAATTGTGATCATTCGTTGCTAATACAGCTATGCATTTGAAATCAGAGGCTATGATTTGTTGGGTTGTTATTGGTAGTGTATTTCTTTATAGTTAGCTCTAAAATGATGTTTTTTAACTGTAGATGAAAACAGGATGTGTTGCTCTTGTTTTATGTTTGAATATCAGTGTGGACTCACCCGATGTTATAAAGATTTCACCTTGTGCCAGGATTATAAGCAGACTACAGTTAAGTTAATTCATTGTCT